CTCTCTCTCTCTCTCTCTCTCTCTCTCTCTCTCTCTCTCTCTCTCTCTCTCTCTCTCTCTCGTTGCATGCCTGCAGATGCAAGCCCTGGGTGGATCCACCCCCCCTCCCTTCCCCTTGGCTGGCTTCCACAAAGAGGGATGCTGAACGGGGGTGGCCGTGTGTGGCTCCCTCTCCCTGTCTGAGTTGGCCACTTCGGCTAGGCTTGGGGGGGGCACCCATGCTGTAGCCACGCTCCCACAGGTGCCCCGTGCCTTCGCTCTCTCCCTGGCACTGTCCTGCCAGGCCTGGTGAGGCACGCCCACGTTGGGTTTTTCAGCCAAGGAAGGGAGCCCCCTGAATCAGAGCACCCCCCCCCAGGCCTGCCACCCCAAACAGCTGGAAGAAAGAGGGAGGGAGGGAGGGAGAGGGGGCTGGATCGACCTTCAGTGAAAGTCACAGACACCCCCCCCCCAAGAAAGAGGGAGGTAGAATTCAGACATGCCCAGGTGGGTTTTCAAACCCTTTCTCCCCCCCCCCCCCACACCACACCTTTATTCCAGACACCTGAAGTGGACACCTTTTGTAGCCGGAGGGCTAGCGGCTGAGGATCGGGGAGATGTGGGTGAGCCGTGGATGCCGAGCCGTGGCATCCAAGGGAGTGGTAGACAGCCTGCCAAGGATCCTACGATCCATTCTCTGAATGCAACACGCACGGAGACAGTGCCCAGCTCTGCCTGCAGCATACCTCTGGCAAAAATTAAAGGAGGAGGGGGAGGGAGACTTTTTTTTTTTTCGGGGGCCGATCGGCACACACAAGCCTGCTTGCACTGTGGGTCCACGTGTTTACCACGTGCCCGCCACTTCGGCTGTCTCCCCAACCCGAGGCTTCCCACCCCAGTACCGAGACGGGCTTCGTGCCTTGGCGACACGAAAAGCCTGGTCCAAGCGAGGACGCCGGTGCCCGCCCGATTCCACGGCATCGGAGAGCGTCGTGCCACCCTGTCTCCCCCCCCACTGCCGAGACGTGCCGTGCCCTCCGACAGAATCTTTTGCCTGGCAGCCATCGAAGGAAGGAACAGGAAGGAGGATAGGAACATTCCCGGCCGTCTCTCCTGCCATCGGCTTCGACACGGCCTCGAATCGACGCCCGGCGAAGACACGGAGCCCCGCGAGGTGGGGTGGGGTGGCAGGAGAGAACAGGGTGACAAGTGGGATGCCAAGCGAGGGAAGGTGGGCACCTGAGGGCAGAGGGAGAGGGGGAGGGAGGGGATGTCAGCATGGACAGCATCCATCCATCCATCCATCCGAGCCGGAAAGCAGCTGCAAAGAGGGGTGGAAGGATCTGCAACGAACGGTTGGCGAGGATTACACGACGAAACCTGACTAGACAGCCAAATTTCATGGGTAAATAAACACGGTGCCAAGCCAGGCTGGCTTTCAAGGTGGGGAGAAGAGGAAGGGGGGGGGGGTGAGAGGTGACGGGCGCCTCCCCAGCAAAGCAGGAGAGGTTGGCCAAGTGGGTGTGTGCTGGGGGGGGTACAGGGGGGATGGGCTGATGGAGGACTTGCCTTTGAATGAAGCCAAGGCAAGCTCTGGAGATACCTGATTCTGTATGTAAACAGCTGGGGTTTTTTTTTCTTCTCTTTCTCTCTTTCTCTTTCTCTCTCTCTCTCTCTTTTTTTTTTTTTTGCCGGAACCACCTGATTGTTGAGAAGCGAGAGTTCCCTGGGAGGATTCAGTACGTAAAGACCAAGTCCGAAATGCTGGACATCAGCCAGTCCCCTGCGATCATCTCAGTCACTTCCGGGGTACAATAATCGGGGAATTCAAAATGAGACGAGGTGCCCAAAGGAAAAAGATCCAGGTCTTTATCGAACACCGACCAGTCCGGACTCCTGCAGGGGGGCGTGTTGGGCTGGACTCTACTGGGCACGACGTTCCAGAGGTCTTCCTCCGGCTCGTCATCCGAGGAGGCGAAGGACGAAGGAGAGGACCGCGTCGAAGCCGGAGAAGACACGTCTGAGGACCAAGGTTTGGCGAGCTCGGCATCTTCACCGTCTTTGGCCTGGCCAGAGTTGCCTTCCCACTCTCCTTTCTCGCCACCTGTGGGAAGCACGTGCCAGAATTCTTTGCTGGAGGTTTTGGGACCCTCGTCGAACGACACTTCCAGGATGCGGGCTTCCAAGGGGTCGTCGTCCGGCTTCGGAGAAGGGCATCGCCCCTGGCCTTCGGCATCCGGCTTGGGTGTCTGCCTCCGGGGCGAAGCGGCCCGACTAAGGACGGAGGGCTTGATCTTGACGGGCACCCTAGGCCGGGCCTTGGCACTGCCCAGCTTGCCTTTCTTCCTGGGCCGGTACTTGTAGTCGGGATAGTCGGCCATGTGTTTGAGGCGCAGTCGCTCGGCCTCCTTGACAAAAGGGATCTTCTCCGAATCCTGCAGCAACTGCCAGCGCCGTCCCAGCCGCTTGGAGATCTCGGCGTTGTGCATGTCAGGCCACTGGTCCATGATCTTCCGCCGTTCGTTCTGGGACCACACCATGAAGGCGTTCATGGGCCGCTTGATGTGCCCGCTGGGGGTTTTGCACCAGTCCGGTTCGCCCGTGCCATCCTTCAACAGCAAGCTGTCTTTGGAACACGCCTCCCGCTTCGCTTCCACGCCCCGGGTCCGCGTGCTGCTGCGTTGCTGGACCATGCTGTTGCTCTGAGGCGCCGCCGAACTCTCCGAACACTCCTCCTCCGGATGCTCAGTCCAAGCCGGGGTTATTTTCTCATCCTCCGGTGGGTGGAAACACCGTGGCGGCGCGGCTCAGCTCGGCCAGCGGGTGGGTGGGTGGGAGGGCGAACCTCTGTGGTTGCCAACAAGCAAGATCGCCTCTCTCTCTCTCTCTCTCTCTTTCTGATCCACGCCCCCCTTTTAACTCCGTCTCCAAAGCAGCCGGCTGGCAAATTGACAGCAGGAGGTCCTGATGGCACCTGCTTTTGGGGCCTGGGGGAGATGCCCAGTGGAGGGGAAGCAAAGCGCCGGGAAGCAGTAGGAAGTCTTTGGCAAAAACAGCTGGAGAGCAAGGAGGGTCGGGAGAGAGGCCGTCAGGAACTCCGGGCGGGGGATTCCAAGGGCCAAAGCATCCCCAAGGAACAACGGATGGACCGACGGAGCAGTCACGCCTTCTCCTTCTCGTCGGGGGTGGCAAAGACCTGAGTGGGGAGAGAAGAGGGGGAGGGAGACCCCCACCACTCACAGCAGCAGCAGCAGCAGCAGCAGCCCCTCGGTGCCCCCTCCCCAGGCCGCCCTAGATCAGCTCCGTCTGGCTTTGCAAACACAGCCTGCTCACGCCCACTGCTCTCCTCCTCGCTGCCTTCTCTTATAGCCCATCCTCGCTGACAGCCCCCTCCTCCTCCTCCTCCTCCTCCTCCCCCCTTCCCCCCTCCCCGACACGCTCGGCCCCTCCCCTCCAGCACAGTCTAGGGCTGCACACATTGCTGCCAACAGTAAACACCAAGGTGCTGCTTCTGTCAATGGGGCGCTCCTCCTCCGGCTGCACGTCATTGGTTGCGGGGCAGGAATGGGGCATTTGCATCCCCCAATCGGCTGGCACCGCTGCCGCCGCCCCCCCTCCCAGGAAAGGCGGGAGGGAAGGTCCAAAACTTTCTCCCCAGCCAACACACCCACCTCCCCTCCGCCCCCAACCCCGTGGAGAGGGAGCTGGGAGGGAGGGAGGGAGAAGGTGCCAACCCCACGGAATTGGTGCCCCAGGGCGAAGGAATTCTGCCAGGCTGGGAGAAGGAAAGAGCCCCAGGATTTGAGAAAGAGGAAGGGGCAGCAGGAAAGGATGGGAGAAAAATGCTTTTAGTTCCGCAGGAAAAGGTGGATTTTCACAGCAACCGTGGAGGGACCTGATCAAGCAGGGTTAGCAAAACTTCCAACTTTCAAGGCAATCTTTTACAGCCGGTTCCTTTCCTGTTCTCTTGTTTGTGTTGGTGTGTATATGTATATATGCATATACATGTGTGTGTATATATGTATATGTATACGTATATACATATATGTATACGTATATATGTATATACATGTGTGTATATGTATGTATACATGTATATATGTATGTGTGTGTGTGTGTGTGTATATATATATATATATATATATATATATATATATATATATATATATATATATATATATATCCAAAATCAATAAGTAAACGTGAGCACCAGGGAGTACAATAAAATAATTTAATTTAATGCTAAAATACCTAAAAAAACGCCTAGCTTTCGTCGGCATCTGCCGACATCATCAGGGCTTACAATGCCGGTCAGTGGGAGAGTCCCTCTTATAGATTTGTAGGTATTTTAGCATTAAATTAAATTATTTTATTGTACTCCCTGGTGCTCACGTTTACTTATTGATTTTGGATATGGATACACCCAGGGATCACATTTTTAATATAATTATTAATTTATTTCTTTCTTTTTGTTGACAAAGAGTTAAAGAGTTAAATGGGAGACCAGAATAGCTATTTCAAGCTTTTTTAGCTATTCTAGTCTCCCATTTAACTCTTTAACTCTTTGTCAACAAAAAAAAAAAGAAATTCGAATTTGTAGTGTATCGCAGTAGCGACTTGAGCCTGCTTAACGCTCCTAGTTTGGGGCTGCAAGGCAAAAGTGATCATAATAGTAGAACTGCAATATAGCAGTCAAAAAAAAAACACCAAGGTGCATCAACCACACACACACACACACACACACACATGCATATATGTATAAAAACACATATATACACAGACACGTATATCCACAAACATATGCATACATACAAAACACCAACATAAATAAGAGAGGAAAGGCCACAGGGTTAGGGTTTTCCCGCTCATATTTATATATTTTTTTCATATTTATCTTATGTTATTTATTTGTATCCTGTCTTATTTTTACTAATAAATCAAGGTGGCGAAAAAACCTAACACACCTTCCTCCTACTGTTTTCCCCAACAACAACCCTGTGAGGTGGGTTGGGCTGATTGGCCCAAAGTCACCCAGTCGGCTTTCATGCCTAAGGCGGAACTAGAACTCACCACCTCCTGGTGATTGGCCCAAAGTCACCCAGCTGGCTTTCGTGCCTAAGGCAGGACTAGAACTCACCACCTCCTGGTGATTGGCCCAAAGTCACCCAGCTGGCTTTGATGCCAATGGTGGGACTAGAACTCACTGTCTCCTCATTTCTAGCCTGGTGCTTAAGACCAAACTGACTCTGTATATTTATATTTATATTATTTATATTTATATTTATATTATTTATATTTATATTTATATTTATATTATTTATATTTATATTTATATTTATATTTATATTTATATTATTTATATTTATATTTATATTTATATTTATATTTATATTTATATTTATATTTATATTTATATTTATATTTATATTTATATTTATATTTATATTTATATTTATATTATTTATCCATATTTATATTTATCCATATTTATATTTATCCATATTTATATTATTTATATTTATATCCATATTTATATTTATATTATTTATATTTATATTTATATCCATATTTATATCCATATTTATATTTATATCCATATTTATATATGTCTATATCTATATGTCTTTCTCTCTACCGTTTGTCTATCTATACCTATCTACCTACCTACCTGGAATTCCCATAATTCCAACTTATGCATTAATTTTTCCTACAAGGCACAATGGGAGTTTAGGTCCAGAAACCCCGCAATACTGCAATTCGAGCCATTCTTCCCAGCTGACCCTGGGGTGTTTCGAATCCAGACCCGAGGCTCATTTTCGCAAAGACCTTGAAGAACCCCATTCAGCTCGAGGGTCCTGAAGAAGGTGGAAAGGCACCCAAGCCCAAAATTGATTTAGGCCCATCTTCTGCCTGCCAGCCAACAGCCACTACAGGCAGTCCTCAACTTACGGCCACAAGTGAGCCCAAAATTTCCGTTGCTAAGCGAGACAGTTTTGCCCCATTTTACAACCGTTCTTGCAATCGTTGTTAAGCGAATCACTGCAGTTTTTAAGTGAGTAACACGGTCGTTAAACGAGTCTGACTTCCCCACGGACTTTGCTTGTCAGAAGGCCACAAAAGGGGACCACGTGACCCCGGGACACTGCAACCGTCCTAAGTACATGCCAGTTTCCAAGCGCCTGAATTTTGACCACGTGACCATGGACATGCTACAACGGTCGTAAGGGTGAAAAACGGCCGTAAGTCACTTTTTCAGTGCCGTTGTAACTTCAAACTGTCCCTAAATGAATGATTGTTTAAGCCGAGGACTATGCACTAACGCAGGACTCATCCAACTTGGCCCTTTTATGACTTGTGGACTTCAACTCCCAGAATTCCTCAGCCAGTGTGCCTGGCTGAGGAATTCTGGGAGTTGAAGTCCACCAGTCATGAAAGGGCCAAGTTTGAAGACCCCTGCTATAGAATGTATAAGGCAGGTATGAGTATTTTGAGGAAATCTTGAAGGAACATTCTGGAAAAAAAGAGTAGATAGAGGCCTAGTTCAGATTTTTGTGGGCTGCTTTGTGGCTCCGCGGCTGGAAGAGAGGTAATTATCACTAAATGTAGAACAAGGGTAAGATTTCTGCTTTTTTTCCCCTCATAAAAAGTGTAATACAGGTATGTAGTCCTAAACCAGCCGTCTTCAAACTTGGCCCTTTGATGACTGGTGGACTTCAACTTCCAGAATTCCTCAGCCAGGCATACGTGCCTGGCTGAGGAATTCTGGGAGTTGAAGTCCACAAGTCATAAAAGGGCCAAGTTTGAAGACCCCTGCACTAACGAAAGAGACAATTTGCAAACTTCAATATTCTCTAATTCACTGTTTTTTAAGCCTGGACACTTTAAGAATGGGTGGACTTCAACTCCCAGAATTCCCCAGCAAAGCGAGGTGGGGAACATCCGCAGGGACCCTTTCCTCGTTTTATCTTGTCTTGTTCATGGATGGGAGGCCACCAGGAGATCCTACAGCTGTGGAGTAAACTCTCCAAAAACATCATGGAAGCAGGCTAGAGGAAATCACACCTGTTGTGGCTACTCTCCTCGCCCTGCCTGCCCCAAATTATCTCATCTTGAAGAAGCAGAATTTACCTTACCTCACCTAGCTGGGAATGATGGATGCTGTAGTCCCAGCACATACAGAGGGAAGGCGTGCTCAAAACTCTTCACCTGCATTTCTCTTGCAAACTTTTTACAACCACCTTGTGAGGTAGGCCGGCGTTATTTTCTCCCTGTTTCAGACATCGAACCCTGGAAGGGAATATTTATCAAAGGAAAGAATTAAGATTTACTGATTTACGGCTTCTTAGCCTCAATTCCCGTTTTCCTTCCAGGTGAGACAAAGAACAGGAACTAAAGCACTGAGATTCTTCCTTTCTTATTAGTAGTATTATTTTTCAGATATCGGACACCTAAAAGGATTGGCAGCCATTTTGACTTTTCGGACCCTCACCAAATATTTCCCCCTTTCCTTATAGGTCTTCCCACAACTAGCCATAAACGCAGGGAAACGTTACACAGGTAGTCCTCGGCTTACGACCGCAACTGAGCTCTAAAATTTTGTGGCTGAGTCGCTAAGTCGGTTTTGCCCCACTTTACGACCTGGCTTGCCACAGTTCTTAAGTGAATCACCGCAGTTGTTAAGTTAGTCACAGGGTCCCCCATTCTGACTTTGCTTTTCAGAAGGTCGCAAAAGGGGATCACATGACACCCCCCGAGGGACACCGCGACTGTCATAAATGTGAGTCGGCTGCCAAGCATTTGAATTTTGATCACGTGACCACGGGGAGGCTGCCACAGTCGTAAGGGTGAAAACGGTCATAAGTCACCTTTTTCTGTAATTTCAAACCAGTGGAACTCCTTGCCTCCAGAAGTTGTGAATGCTCCAACACTGGAAGTTTTTAAGAAAAGACTGGACAGCCATTTGTCCGAAATGGTGTAGTAGGGTTTCCTGCCTGAGCAGGGGGTGGGACTAGATGACCTCCAAGGTCCTTTCCAACTTTACTATTATTGTTGTTGTTTGTTATTGGTTTTGTTATTGTTATTGTTATTATAAATGGTCACTAAACACAGCTTTCCCGCCTAAGGTGGAACTAGAACTCACAACTTCTCAGGGTTTAAGTCTGGCACCTTAACCAGTATACTAAGTTGGCTGTCTTTCGAGATTTTACCATTTTATAGCCAATTGACCGGCATGGGGTGTCCTTTGCTTTTATTCCAGAAAACAAAGCATAAGCCTAGAAAAGTTGTTGAGCTGCAGAGTTATTTCCACTTTTCCTATTTTCTTTATTGCCAGAGTCATTTCATTATGAGATGGGTGGCAAATAAATTTAATAAATGAATATATTTTCTTTGTGCTGGAGACAGAGCCCAAAAGCCCCAAAATGGGTTATATGCAGGTGTTTCTCAACTTGGGTTATTTTAATCGGTGCGGATTTCAACTCCCAGAATTCCCTGAGAGTTGAAGTCCACACATGCTGCCTGTGGAATCCTGGGAGTTGAAGTCCACATGGTTTAAACCCACCATCTCCACAACTGGACTCTTGTTCTAATCAGGAAGCTTTGATTTATATTTAAAGAAACTCTAGATAGCCACAACTTGATCCATTGCAAGCTCTTAATCATCTTCTTTTTAATGTAGTATTTCCCAAGTGTGGGAAGTTTAAGATGAGTGGACTTCAACTCCCAGAATTCCCCAGCCAGCATGTGTGGACTTCATCTTAAACTTCCAACACTTGACCTCAAAAGAATCCTTGGGAAAATGGAACCCCACTGACCACCTTGGCATTCTATTCCAAGAAGGAAACCAACATTGGTTATTTAATCTATCATTTCCTGCAATGTAAGGGTTGTTTTCCAGATTGATCTCTCTGTACCTTCAAACCTATTGGACTAGCTTTCCATCGTCCCCAGGCCACGGAGAACACCACGGACTGGCAAACAGGGCATCCATTTGGAGACAGATTCATGATAGGCAACCCTAAGGCCTGGGGAGGTGAACCTCCACGTTTCAGGGCAGTATACCTTAAAAGGCAAAATTCGCAGGATGTGTGCCCAACAAAATGGCTGCCAGCCAATAGAAGCCGAAGGAGGGGACTTAGACTCTCTAAAGTTGGATGGAACTGCTCAAAAGTTTAACTTCGTTATCTTTATTTTATTTTATTTTATTTTCCCTTTTGTGCCAGTTTTACGTTGTCTCCATTGTTGTTAAATTTTGTTCCATAAAAAAGCAAGGAGAGCAACAACCTTAATAATAATAATAATAATAATAACAACAACAACAACAACAATAATAATAATTGGAAGGGACCTTGGAGGTCATCTAGTCCAACCCCAACAACAACAACAATAATAATAAAAATTGGAAGGGACCTTGGAGGTCATCTAGTCCAACCCCCTGCTCAGGCAGGACTATACCATTTCGGACAAATGGCTGTCCAGTCTCTTCTTAAAAAACGTCCAGTGTTGGAGTTACACAAACACACTTCAATCCCAGGGGAGAGAGCCTTAAGGCAACTTTGATGAAAATCTTCTAAGACAGCAGGATCAGGAAGAAGCAAAGAAATCAAAGCTGGGGTCTGCAGGGGGGACTGGGGGTCAAAAAAGTCATAATGGCCGCCAGGACGGTGGGATCAAAGTTCTACCCTTTTTTTAAAAAAAATACAACTCACTACATTACAAGCTGCCCAGAGTGGCTTCGGATCACGAGACGGGCGGCATATAAGTTTAATAAATCAATAAAATAAATAAATCTTGACTTTTTGTGACCCCCCCTTTTTTTGTGACCCCTTTTTGTGTTACTTTTTGTAACACTTCGGAAGTCCTGCTAACCAACCAAGGGGGGAGGAGTGCTAAAATAAAACGGATGGGCTAATCTCATCTGTACTGCTAGCTAATCCCAGTTTATTCAACAAACCACAGTTAAACAAACCAGGATCTTTGTGCGGATCTTGGAGACCATCCTTTAACTCCTTGCCGGAAAGAATTGGGGGGGGAGTTGGAACTGTTGCCCCCCTGAATACCCGTCCCGCCACTCCCGCCTACTAACCTGGCAGTCTTGGACTACAACACCCATTATCCTCCAGCCCTGGCCGTGGGGCCTCTCCGCCGCTCACCGGCTCTGCTGCGACCGGAGAACGTCCCGGTCCGGATCGGGTTTCAGCGGTCGGATCGGCTCCGCTGCTGAGCGATCCCGTCCGTCCGTCCGTCCATCGTCGCAGCTGGGCAGAGATGCGCGGCGCCTCCCCCGCGGGGGCTGCTGCTGGACGCGCTGGAGGGGCTCAGCCTGGCCCGACACCCCGATTCCCCGGAATCCTGAATCCCCGGAGTCGCGGAGCCCCCAAAGTCCCGGAGGCCAGAAGTCCAAATCCCGGAGTCCCGGATCCCCTAAAATCCCGGAGTCCTGGATCCCCCAAAGTTCCGGAGCCCCCAAAGTCCTGGAGCCCCCAAAGTCCTGGAGTCCTGGAGCTCCCAAAGTTCCGGAGTTCTGGATCCCCCAAAGTCCTGGATCCCCCAAAGTCCTGGAACCCCAGAGTCCTGGAGTCCCCAAAGTTCTGGAGTCCTGTAGCCCCCAAAGTCCTGGAGCCCCCAAAGTCCCAGAGCCTTGGAGCCCCCAATGTCCCGGAACCCCGGAGTCCTGTAGCCCCCAAAGTCCTGGAGTCCTGGAATGCCCAAAGTCCCAAAACCCAGGAGTCCTGGATTCCCCAAAGTCCTGGAGTCCTGGAGCCCCCAAAGTCCTGGAATCCCGCAGTCCCAGACTCCAGGATCCCCCCAAATCCCAGAGTCCCAGAGTATCAGAATCCCCCAAATCCTGCCACCCGGAGCCCCAGCCCTTCCCCAGGGGCTACTCGGGCAAGTGGGACCCCCAGCTCTAAACCTCTGCCACAGTGCCCTCCCTCCGTCCACCATGGCCCCCTCCCCCTGGAATCTCCACCCCCCTGCCCCACAGCTTAACCCTTGAGGGGCCAGACCTGGGCATGGTGGCCAAGGCTGAGCCCCTTGGAAATCAACCCAGGTTGGATAGAGAGAAGCAAGGATAGCAGGCTTGTGTGAGCCAAGCCATGCTAATTGTGGCTTGCTCACCAAACCCTAAGCCAGGGGTAGGCAACCCAAAACACTCAAAGAGCCACTTGGACCCGTTTCCCATCGAAAACAAAACACTGGGAGTCGCAAAACTCTTTTGATATCTAAAATGAAGATAACACTGCATAAGTGACTGTCCAGTCTCTTCTTAAAAACCTCCAGTGATGGAGCACCCATGATTTCTGGTGGCAAGCTGTTCCACTGGTTAATTGCCCTCACTGTCAGGAAGTTTCTCCTTAAATCCAGGTTGCTTCTCTCTTTGATCAGTTTCCCACCATTGTTTCTCATCCTTCCCTCTGGTGCTTTGGTAAATAACGTGACCCCCTCTTCTTTGTGGCAGCCCCTCAGATACTGGAATGCTGCTATCATGTCTCCCCCGTTTCTTCTTTTCCTTAGACTAGCCAAACCCAAGTCCCGCAGCCGTTCTTTGTATGTTTTAGCCTCCAGGCCTTCGATCCTCTTAGTTGCTCTTTTCTGAACTTTTTCCAAACTCTCAACATCTTTTTTGTGATACAGTGACCAAAACTGGCTTTAAGCATGCTGAAATCAGCACTGGCATAATTCTTGTTAGTACGTTGAAAATGTCGGGCGCTCTCTTTTGACGCCATCTCCTCTTACTTTCGCAGGTAGTTCTCAACCTACAACCATTCATTTAGTGATCCCAGGTTCACACGGTTGCAACCTTGTCAACTGGCTTCTGACAAACCAAGTCATTTGCTTCATGACCGCTTGATTCAACTGCAGTGATTTGCTTAACAACTGTGGCAAAAAAGTTCTGAACTGTCGGAAAACTCACTTAGCAACAGGGGTAGGCAACCTTGGCTCTTTTATGACTCGTGGACTTCAACTCCCAGAATTCCTGAGCCAGCATGGGGGAACTATGGCCCCTTCATGGCTCATGGACTTCAACTCCCAGAATTTCTGAGCCAGCATGGGGGAACTATGGCCCCCTCATGACTTCAGGACTTCAACTCCCAGAATTCCTGAGCCAGCATGGGGGAACTATGGCCCCTTCATGACTCGCGGACTTCAACTCCCAGAATTCCTGAGCCAGCATGGCTCAGCTTGGAAACCTCTCCCTTTCCCCTCAGCATGGTTGGCTCAGGAATTCTGGGAGTTGAAGTCCACGAGTCATAAAAGAGCCAAGGTTGCCTACCCCTACCCAAATGCCTGAATTTTGATCATGGGACCATGAGGAAAAAATATTTAAATATTTAAACCAGGGGTCTTCAAACCTGACCCTTTTATGACTGGTGAACTTCAACTCCCAGAATTCCTGAGCCAGCATGGGGGAACTATGGCCCCCTCATGACTCGTGGACTTCAACTCCCAGAATTCCTCAGCCAGCATGGCTCAGCTTGGAAACCTCTCCCTTTCTTCTCAGCGTGGGTGGCTCAGGAATTCTGGGAGTTGAAGTCCACCAGTCATAAAAGAGCCAAGGTTGCCTACCCCTGGCCTAGCTTAGCAAGGAAGTTTTNCCCAGTGTTCAAGTCTGTCCAGATCCTTCTGTATCTTAAGCCTGTCTTCTGGAGTGTTGGCTATTCCTGCCAGCTTGGTGTCGTCTGCAAATTTGATGAGTTCCCCATCTATCCCCTCATCCAAATCGTTGATGAAGATGTTGAAGAGCACTGGGCCCAGAACAGAGCCTTGGGGCACCCCACTACACACTTCCCTCCACAAGCAACTCCCACCTCAATATCAAGCTTCTTTTCTAATTCATCGTCTTAATCACCTTGTCTTAGATCCTGTTACTAAAGTTCTTATTTAAATTTATTTTCCCCACTGAAGGGATTTTATTATGCTTAAGCTTGATATTAGTAATATTGATAATATCCCTTCACCACAACGTTCAAAAACATTTTTACCGCTTCAGATTTTCTTAAGAGTTAAATATTTAAGTCTTTTTCCTCAGACAAGCCATCCCAACAGTTTTACATTTCTCATATCTTAAAAAAAAATAGAGAGAAGGAAAAAAAAGAAGGAAATAATATACTACTTGAAAAACATGTCCCTCTTAAGCTAAAATATATTTATGTCCCCAAAAATTTTAAGCGTATTCAAACCAATATTTAATCTTTAAGTATTCCGTCTAATAAATCCGCAGCTAATCTTTTAAAACTATTCAAAACATTCTTATAAATTGAAATGTCTTAATGTTGCCGGTGTTGACCACAACCTGCTTGAGAAGGGGGCTGGACTAGAAGATCTCTAAGGTCCCTTCAAACCCTATTACTCTATGTAATAGGCATAGGCATCTTTATATTGTTCTACTTTTGGAGTGTGAAGTTTCAGGACCGTTTTCAAGGCAAACTCTTAAAAACCTCCCATGATGGAGCACCCATGACTTCTGGTGGCAAGTTGTTCCACTGGTTAATTCTCCTCGCTGTTGGGAAGTTTGGCAAAGGCTTGGCAACAGGTTCATATTTACGACCGTGGCTGCGTCCCAGCCTTCCGTCCTAGATAAAAAGACTCCTCAGCGTCCCATAGGTTTCCGTGAGAACATGGGTTTTGTAATCCAACATATCCAGGAACGCCTCCACGTTGCTGAGATGCAGGGTGCAAGAAAGCAAACGCAAGAAATTTTCCTATGTGCTAGGGAAAAAAACGAGGAGAAAAAGACAGAATCCGTATTAAATGAACACACAAAATCATCTGTATAAATGCCACCTTGGACATTAAAACCGGGGTTTTGCTCTGGCGCAGATCCCCTCTATGGTTTTCTTACTTCTTTAGTTCTAGGTTTACGACCACCACTTTACATTGCTGAGTTTTAAATGAGTTTGGCCCCATTTTACGACTTTTCTTGCCACATTTGTGAAGCGAATCACTGCCCGTTGTTAAATGAGTAATCCGGTTGTTAAGGGAATCCAGTTTCCTCCTGGACTTGGCTTTCCAGAAGGTCTCAAAAGGAGATCATGTGATCTTGGGACTCAGCAATGGTCTAAACATGAACCCGTTGCCAAGCATTTGCCAAGTTTCCCAACAGCAAGGAGAATTAACCAGTGGAACAACTTGCCACCAGAAGTCGTGGGTGCTCCATCCCGGGAGGTTTTTAAGAAGGGAAAGGACAGCCGTTTGTCTGGAATGGTAGAGGATCTCCTGCTTGAGCAGGGGCTGGACTAGAAGACCTCCAAGGTCCCTTCTAACTCTATTTGGATTCTGATTTGAATTTTGATCATGTGAAGACGGGGAGGCTGCAAATGTGTAAATGTGAAAAACGGTCATGAGTCATTTTTGTTTTCAGTGTCTTTGTAACTTTGAATGGTCACTAAATAAACTGTTATAAGTCAAGGATTATTTGTATGGAGATAGATGTTGGGATTTTGGTTTAAAACAAAAAAGAAGTCCCATCCATTTGAAGTTTGCTGATGGCAGTCGAACACCAAACAACGTGCTACAACGGTGCGGTGCCCACGTCCTCGCTTTACAGCCATTCGTTTAATACCCGTTCGTCCTTACAAAAACACCGAAAAAAAAGGAACTTGCAATCAGTCCTCACACTTACGACCGTTGCAGCATCTCCACGGCCACGTGATCCAAATTTGGGTGCTTGGCAACCAGCAGCTTTTATCACAGTCGCACTGTCCTGTGGTCACACAATCTCCCCTTGTGACCTTCCTAGCCATCTTTTGACAGAGTCAGTGCGGGAGGGGAATCCAGATTTGCTTAACAACCGTGTGATTCGCTTAACAGCTTCGGGGATATACTCAGCCACCACGGCCAAAATGTCATAAAATTGGGTGCAACTCACTTAAACGACCTTGCAATCAACTGAAACTGTCCTTGTTTAGCAACAGAAATTCTGGTCCCATCGTGGTTATAAATCAAGGAGTAATTGTAGTTTATAATAATAATAATAATAATAATAATAATAATAATAATAATAATAATAATAATAATAGTAGTAGTAGTAGTAGTAGTAGTAGTAATAATAATAATAATAATAATAATAATAATAATAATAATAATAATAATAATAATAATAATAAAGTTGGAAGGGACCTTGGAGGTCATTTAGTCCAACCCCCTGCTCAGGCAGGAAATCCTATACCATTTCGGACAAATGGCTGTCTGTTCTCTTCTTAAAAACTTCCAGTGTGGGAGCATTCACCGCTTCTGGAGGCAGGTAGTTCCACTGGTTAATTGTTCTAACTGTCAGGAAGTATCTCCTTAGTTCTAAGTTGCTTCTCTCCTCGATTAGTTTCCATCTGTTGCTTCTGGTCCTGCTTTCAGGCACCTTGGAAAATAGCTTGACTCCCTCTTCTTTGGGTCAGCCTCTGAGATACTGGAACGCTGCTATCATGTCCCCGGAGCAGGAAGAGAAGTAATTTGATCTGGTCACTACCGCTTGGAAACTCTCTGGCTCACGGGTTTGACGTTGGGTTTTGGGTGAATACGTAACAGCCCACGGCCCACCCACACCGGTAACCCACCCACCCCAGGTAACTCACCCGCACCGACGCCACCATTGTCGTCTGCCACCCTGATTTTTCAAGTTAGTTAGTTAACCAACTTTGCGAGATTTTTTTTTTCCCCCGAGAAGTTGAAATTGACTGATTGATTGAACCTTTTTTTTTTTTGTACACGCCAGCGGAGGCCTAAAGCAAAAAGGTTTTATAAAACCCAGCTGAATGCCTAGGACTGGGGCGGCGCCGCGCGTGCCCACAGAGAGGGCTCTGCGTGCCACCTCTGGCACCCGTGCCATAGGTTCGCCACCACTGAACTAGACAGACTCAATTCCAACAGCCGTTCCTTATATGCTTTAGCTTCCAG